TCTTAAACATATCCACATGACATGTTTTTAATTAAAATATGGACCACACAGTCTGTACCATCTAATTTTTATATGCTTGGAGATTGCCAGTTCATTTCCATATTGGCTCAAGCCAAACAGAAGGGAGGAAGAAAGCTATGGTACAAAAGCACAGTCAAATTTATTCTAGTACAAAGGATTTTTATATTTTCTCTGGATGTTTTAATTAATATTTTACTTGTGCCCCAGCTCATCCCCAGAATGGGTGGGAAGCAGCTCTCTGTGATTTCAGGCCTGGGCCCTGTCACCGTGAGTCACAGGGAGTGGCTTCATTTCTGATCTTTCTCCTCCTCGTGAAAAGGCTGGGCATACGCTCGCTCCCTCAGCTCTTGCATACCCTGGTGCACCTGCAGGCAGCAGCATCTTTGACCACAGAGGCTCCCCTAGACTTTGTCGAGGTGCCCTGAGCTGTAGCCCTAAGCCTGGCTCTGGCTTGGTTGCTCAGCATTGTCTTGAATTAAGCTTCCCTTCCTCCCTTCTCTCTGGAAAAGTATTGCACACTCACTCTTCCTGAAGAGTTGTGATTCTGGGGTGTCAGGGAAGGGCAATGGCCAGAGGGGAGGGATGGAGCACTGAGCTGACTCTCTGGATGGAGATGCCATTGTCATGTAAAACAAGCCTTGCAGAAGAGAGACTCTCGGTGGAAGAGGAAGACTCTTCCCCAGTGGGGTCCAGCCAGAGCCAGATGAGAGACTGTTAATGCTCCTGGGATGTGTAACCTGGATTGGGCCATGGTCTAGTGCGCCAAAGAGCCCCTCATTTCCTTTCAAGGAATCTCCTTGACTTGCGGGGGGGGGGGGGGGAGCCACAGCTTTTTATTTTCTCCTCTCACCTGGACCCAGGGACCCAGAGGCAAGTTCTTTGGTTGGGCCTGGGGCCTCTTAGTATTTGCTGCAAAACAGTTATTTTTTAAAAAAGATTTTATTCATTTATTTGAGAGAGAGAGAGCAAACACACATGGGGGGAGTGGCAGAGGGAGATGCACACTGCCCACTGAGCAGGGAGCCCCATGTGGGACTCGATCCCAGGACCCAGAGATCATGACCTGAGGTGAAGGCAGATGCTTCATTACTGAGCCACCCAGGTGCCCCCAAAGCAATCAGTTTTACAACTGTTGCTGTCTGAAGCCGTGGAACATGTTCTTCAGTGGTGATCTTAAGGCAGAAGCTTTATACAAAGTAGAGCTTCCCAGCTATGGACATCTTGGGCCAATTATTCTTTGTTGTGGGGCCTGTCCTAGGCATTTGTGGAACACTCAGGAGCGTCCCTGGCCTCTGCACATTAGATGCGGCATCATTCGCTTCCTCCCTGTTGTAACCAACAGAAATGTCTGGACACATTTCCCAGTGTACCTTGGGAGGCAGAAGGGCCTCCTGCAGAGAGCCACTGTATAAGAGGTGATGCAGGTGGGGTTACTTTAGTCAGGATGGGAGCCACCTGTCTGTGCCCCCTGCTCCTGATGAGAGCACACTTAGGGAGGCTGGAGATCTCTATGGGGCCAGCCCCACCATGCACTCTGTGCCCGAGCAGACAAACTTGGAATCTTGTAGCTCCACTGACGTGCTCCCGGCATGTCTCTGAGCTCCTCCTCTCCCTCCAGGAGCCGCCTCTGTAGGGATGCCTGGCACAGCCTGGGGCCCTGGAACAGGGTAACCAGCAACTGCCCCACACGGGGTTTGAATGCCTAACCTTCTTTTAAAAAATGATCATTACGGATTGTTTCTCAAGCGACAAAGTAAGTGCCCCGGGAAGACATCCTGGACACCCAGAAAAGCACAACAAAAGGAGAAGCCACATACTACTAGGCCAAGGTAACTGCTGTTTACCATGAACAAAAGCCAACCAAACTTACTGCTGTGTTTATCATCTTTGGTATATTTTTAGAGCCTGCCTTCTCCACTTAAGCTTGTAGCACGCAGCAGCCAGCAGGTTCCCACAGCTGACCCCCCGGGGCTGGTACCAAGTGGTGAGTCACCGAGAGCTTGGCAGGTGCCCCGCCGATGTCATCCTCAAATGTCAGGCTGCACCTTCGCTGCCCTGCCCTTCGCTCAGAACCTGCTCTGAGCTGCTGGCTGTGCACTCCCCGAGCCCGTTCTTGGTTTCTGCTTGAACTGTTTTTCCTGGAGGTCATGAATGACAGATTTACTGCCCCTCTGCTCTTCTGCCACATGGAGTTTTTATCAATGATTGCTGAGAAATGACAACTTCCAGCAGAACCGTGATTCCATTTTTAGCTGGAAAACTGAGAAAAGACTGCTCAGTTTTTCTGCAAAGCACAGGGTTAAAAATAAGCATCGTGGCTCACACTCCCTGAGGACTTACTATATGTCCCGAGCTGCCGTTGGGGTTTTTGAACGGGGTCTTTCAGTTCTCACCTCATTCTGACGTGGGAGGTATTTTATTACCCCATTTGACAGATGAGGAAACCGAGGCACAGACGGTGATGCCACCTGGACAACGAGGCCAGGATATGCGTCCTGGCAGCCTGGCTTGGCTTGAGGCAGGGGTCGGTCGGCAAGCTTCTTCTGTAAAAGGCAGGTCTCTGCCACGATTCCTCAACTCCCATCTTTGTAGAGCAAAAGCAGCCACAGACAACAGTAAATGAATGGATGTGAATGCTGAAATTTGAATTTCATGTACTTTTCACATGTCACAAAATAGGATTCTACTTTTGATTTTTTTAAAAAATGTAAAAACTATTCTTAGCTTCAGGCTGTACGAAGACAGGTGGCGGACTAGATTTGGCCCGCAGGCGGTAGCTTGTTGACCTGGCTCGGGAGCGCAGACTCTTCACCACGCCTTGGCACCGTGGCTATAAAGATGATCTTCCCCCATATAGGGGAGACTCAGACCCAGTAGAGGAGGCAGGGGCTGGAGTCTCTTGACCAAGGGAGCCTTTTGCACCCATTGCCCTGCAGTATCTCAGTGTGCACCAATGTCAGGGAAGGGACAGCTTGAGGCCAGAAGGACATGAGGGATAGAATGCACCAATGATTGACAGCTGAGCCATAATAAAAACACATTTACGGGATTCTCGTGTGGGCTGAGAAAAATGATTTCATTTATTTAAACAGCTGATTGACAGCTGCTGGTTGGGAGCAGATCCGAGTCTACAGCTGGGCTCCCGTGAATGAATGGTTGCCTGTAGGAATAGTGTGATCTCCTTGATGGTTTACCTGGACTGCTGGCCCAGTGAATGCACCTGGGAGCCCCTGGCACGGGCCATTTTGTCCCCCCTTCTGGTATTCCTTTTCACCTGACATGGAGCCAGGGTCCCTGCCTCAGCAGGACCAGACCAAGCAAACTGCCCTGGGGCCATGAGGCTTCCAGGGAGAAGACTTTGGAGTTGGAATTCAGTCCCGACCTGGCCACCTGGTCCATGTCCCCAGCAGATGCCAGTGTGTCTGGCTGCTCAGCAGGGGCCCTGAGAGAATGTGGTACAAAACGGGCTCTCTGCATACCTTGTCACTGTGCGGCTTTGAAATGCTTCCAGAGGCCCTGGCCACCGCCACCCTGCGGCCTTCCTGGCTCTGGCTCCGCTTGGTAGCAGATGGAAGAGCCATGGGTGTGGTGGGGCCAAGGAAGAGATGTCTGGAGAAGGTGGCTGCCACTTTTCTGGCCTCAGTGGCGCAGATAGCTGTGTTGTGCAATGAGCTAAGAGGATACTTCGACCGGGGAGGCCCTGATGGGAGCGCCAGATCCCAAGAGGGCAGGGTGAGCAGCAAAGGGCCTTCTCCTAGGCCCATTGGAGCCCCTTGGGGTCGAGGTGTGTATGAATGGTAATTTCTCACACCACTCTAGAGTCAGAAAGGACTTTAATGATCAGTAGTTGGATGATTCTTAACCTGGGGACCCCAAGAACTATCATGGAGGATGTTTGTCCCTGGCATGTGGTCAATATCCAAAAACAAAAACAAAAACAAAAAAACCAGGAATCAAACCTGTGACAGGCCAGCATCCTTTGCTTACAGAACTTTTGAATTCCTTTGCTTTGGGCTGGAACTTACCCACTGGGTGAGCTAGTGCTGGTTTGTATCTGTTAATAAAAAGCTCTGGTTAATGGTGATTTATATCTTCGATGAATAAATTGGAGAACGTGAATTAATTATTACTTAATAAATGTCGTGTGTCTGCTCGACACAAACCTCCTTGAACATGAGGCGTCTTGGGAGAAAGCTCGAAATGGAGATCCTGGTGACGAGGAAGGAGAGAAACTGCTGATCTAGTCAAACTTTATCCTTTGCAAAGGAAGGCACAAGAGGCCCAGAGATGTCAAAGCTCTCGCTCAAAGCCTTTGGTCTTTAGATCCCAGGGGTGAAGCCAGAGCTGGGCTTCTTGATCTCCTGTTCCTTCTGTGACACCGCGGTGCCTCCTGGTCCCCAGCCCGCCCCCGCCTTTCTTGAGTCGGTCTTGCCCAGGCAAGCTATCATAGGAGTTCTTGAACTCGGGGCGGGGTGTGGGGGTTAGACTGCAGTCACCCAAAGGAGGCGGTCAGTGTCTGGACCCTGGGGGACCCCGAAGTGGGTGTGTGCTCCTTCTGAGCTTTTTCACTCAAAAGCCATGCCTGCCAGCAAGCTACCCTCCCTCTCCCCCCTTTTAAAACCACATCATTTGTGTTGTCTTCCTGGACAGCTGAGAAAAGTGAGCTGTCCTCAGGAAATCCCAAAATGAAAACAAAAGTGAGTGGAAGAAAGCTGGGTTTCGAGTCTTTAAAAAGGAGAGCTTTCTGGAGCCTAGAGGGGTCATGAAATGCGGTCCCCAGGCCAGGTGCTCTGGGTCTCGTGATGATCCCATCAGGTGGGTGTTGCATAAGCCCCATCGTGGAGGGGGAAACCAAGGCTCGGGGACACTTGGCCATGTGGCAGAAGACCTGGCTCCCACATGGATGATCCAGGATTTGAACCCAGGTTTTCTGTGGACCCCGGCCGACCTGAACCCTGTCTTTTCGTCCTCCCTTACAGACACATAGAGAACTGGCGAGGTCTGCACACGCTCAACGCCGTGGACATGGAGCTCTACACCGGCCTCCAGAAGCTGTGAGTGCACCAGGTTGTGGGAGGGGTCATGAGTGGCAGGCGGGCAGGGGGCGGCCCTGCCTCTGGGCTGGGTGATGGGTACTGCCAGCTGCCCTCTGGACTGTACTCCTCTGTTCCTCTTTACTAGTAGTAGAGTTGGTTCTACCCACTTAGGGACTGTCCGGGGCTCCAGAGGCCATCCCCTTGCTCTCCTGTATTTCTCCTGAGCCCAGAAGACAAGGGGGCTGTGTGGTCTCACATAGGGATTCTGAACCCAGGTCCCAGTTAGGACCTGAACCCAGGTCTCCCGACTAAGTGATCTTACTCAGCCCCGTGGTTGGCCAGTGGTCCCCCTAGACTGCAGAATTTCTCAGCCTCCTCCTTCACCTCTGGATTTCTGTGCTAGTGGTGGTAGGGGCTTGGGATGGAGGAGGGAGTGGGTACAATGCAGGCTGCGGTCCCGTAGTTGCCGGACCAGATTCTTGAGCAGGAGACCTGTTGTTACCTTCTTGCCAGAACGGGTAGATGACAGCTTCCAGCACATCCCAATGTCCCAGGGTCCCAATAGGGCGTGAGCCCACGTGCCCTCTGCGGGGCACATAGTGATACTGATGATGAGGAATTGTGTTCAGTTCACAGGGGTGGCTGTAGGGCCGGTCTTGGAATGACCTCCAGTCAGCCTTAGTCCAGAGCAGATGTCTCTCTGCTCCACAAGCTCTGCTGACCCTGTTCTCTCTTTCTCCAGGACCATCAAGAACTCAGGACTTCGGAGCATCCAGCCCAGAGCCTTTGCCAAGAATCCCCACTTGCGCTATATGTGAGTAGAGCTGGGTCCTGGATGGCAGGGACTGGATGTGGAGTACACAGCAGGGAAGGTGCTGAGCAACAGAGACCTGAGGTTTAGGCCTGGCTTTGTCACTGTGTCACTAGGCCTCAGGCTTTTCCTTTTAAAAAGGAGGGTTTGGGATTTGAGGACAAGCCTAGACCAGGGCTTACAGGGGAAGTCTGCTGACTCCCAAGTGTGTTTGCTTTTCATTTGTAACTTTATGGGAATGTAAAAAATGATAAATCCCATTCATCTGCAATGTGAATGCTATACCTCTGAGACCATTTGTAGGTCCGTGTGTGTGTGTTTGCGTGTGCTGCTGTGTGTTGGGTACAGTTGGAAGAAGAGGAAAGGCAAGGCCAGACCAAGCGCCGTGTCTAAATAGGTTCTGGGTTCAGTGGAGAAGGACTCAGAGAGTGGAGACACCTGTATATAAGGTCACACTGCTTTGTCTGGGACAAGTTGCAGGCCACCTGGCTCCGGGTGGGGTTCTTCTCTGTACCATCCTTCCCTCTCTCTTCACGTTCCTGTCCATGTCTGATGGCGGAGGAGCCTCTTCAGGGTTGGATCCATGGGGGTAGAATCACATGAGCTTGCTGCTTTCTCTCTAAACCTTGTTCTCCATGGACGACTCCAGAATTCATTGGAAGGACTACCGCGTCCTGGGGAAAAGATGGGCTTGAAAGGAAGCCCGGGAGATGGTCAGGGGAAGCACTAACCCGCTGTGCCCGCAGGGGGTGCTTGCTGTCTGGTCACCTCGTCTTCCAGGACAGTGACTATCTTGGACAACCATTGGGCACGTTCCCCGAGAGAGCAGAAGCAGAGATGGGGAGGGAGGGGTCTGTCGTATTGGGGGCTTAAATGGAGCAGTGATGTACAGGTGAGTCTTTCCGTTGTCCATGTGACTGCTGAACTGGCTGAAGCGCTTTGTGGTTTGCTAATGGGAGGGCAGCCTGCTGGGCTGGAGTCCCCTGTGAAGCGTCAGAGCCTCCAAGGGAAGCTCTCAGAAAGTGGCAGAAAAGGAGGAAGGGAAAGGGAAGAGATTCTGGAGGATTGTGGTGGGAGGGATGGTTCTTTTTGGGGGTCCTGGCTCTGCTCTCTGTCCTCTGTGAGCTTTCTCAAGCATACAGTGAATGCTTTATACACACACACACACACACACACACACACACACACACACACACACGTAATTGTCAGTGAAAGCTACTGTTGCTGTGTGCTGTGTTTTCGTTCCTCCACCCGGAAATGGCTCGCCGTAACACTGTAAGGCCCTTGCTCAGGGCCTGATGCGTTAGCTCCAGACCTCCCTTCCAGTTGTCTCATTTAGCTGTCACCCCCTTCTTCTCGTCGAGCGACTGTGGTGAGGTTCTCCCAGTGTGTGTTCTTTGCAGCTGGAGGCGTAGCTGGGACTGGAGGAGGGCCTTGGACCAGATGTTCCCCGTGTTTATTTTATTGGGGATTTGGATTTCGATGTAAAACATCCCAGGGGAAGGAGCTTCTGACCTCTGAGAGAAGTCTTTCTTTTCATGCTAACTCAGACAAAGTTCGCAAAGCTAAGCGCTCATGGCAGATCAGGTGGGACAGTGGAGGCTGGGGACCACGTGTCCCTGCCAGAGAGACGACCAGCTGACTGCTGTTCTGTGGAAGTGGGGCCCTGTGTTGCCAGACTTACTGTTTGTTCCAGGAGAGTTAAAGGTCTAGTGAAACCCCTCAACTTTTAAATGCTGGCAACTCAAAATAAACCCCCTCGACTCCATGGACCAAACAAAACAGGCTCTGTGGGTAGAGTATGACAAATGGAGCCCCAGTTTGTGGTCTGGGGTTCTGCTTGATGGAGAGAAGCTTTCAACACGGGAGAAGCTCTGCCCTTTTTGCTCGAGGACAGTGGGTGGATGGATGTTCACGCCCTAGAGACTTCCAGGGCATTGTGTCACCTGCAGCTCTCAGAGAAATCAAGGGGGCTTTGTGACCCATAATGTTTCTTTGGGCCACAGGAGTGGGAACAGGGGTGCATCTTGGGTTACAGGTGTCTCCCAAGTGGAATGTACCAGAACATTACCTTCACTTACCCTTGAGGTCCTGGAAGAAGGCTGTGACCCATGTCTCCTTGAGGATGGTCTGGGGTGTGCTGGGTGGTGGCAGTGATAGGCTGGTGTGGCTTTGTAAGATTCCCAAGGTTAAGGGGGCAGAAGGGGTCTGGTTGGAGTAATTCTGTTAATAATTGCAAGCCTGCCCATGACCTTGTGCCCTGTCTCCTGGAAGCATTGACCAGTTTTTGCCAAAGTACTTGCTGTTGGCAAGAAGGACGGTTTACTATCAATTTACCCCCAGTTTGGGCCTGGCTTTGCATCAGGGACCAGTAAGGATGCTCAGCTTGGTATGAGAAACTCAGCACCTGTTGAGGGGCTCTGATGGGCACCGTAGGGCTTCCAGGAGAGCCTGAGGGTCACGGAGGAGTCCAGGGGTCGAGGTGTAAGCCCTGGCTTCATTGATGGGTTTATTTATGAACTTTTCCCACTTATGAAGACACACCCCCAATCCCAACTGCCTGAATTTCCCGGCAGCTTCAGGACATATTTCTCCTGGCAAATGGGCCAGGTTCCTCTGCTCTCTCACAGCATCTTCTATTTCTGTCCTCTAAATGCGGTTACGAGTCTTCAGGCCCCAGCTGAGCAATCACAAGATGATCACTTACTCCAGCGCTAATTGCTGAGCCCTGGCTTGGCAGCTTTTTCTTTTTTCTTTTCTTTTCTTTTCTTTCTTTCCTTCTTTCTTTCTTTCTTTCTTTCTTTCTTTCTTTCTTTCTTTCTTTCTTTCTTTCTTTCTTTTTCTTTCTTTCTTTCTTCCTTTTTCTTTCTTTTCTTTCTTTCTTTCTTTCTTTCTTTCTTTCTTTCTTTCTTTCTTTTCCTTCCTTTCTTTTCCTTTCCTTTCCTTTCCTTTCCTTTCCTTTCCTTTCCTTTCCTTTCCTTTCCTTTCCTTTCCTTTCCTTTCCTTTCCTTTCCTTTCCTTTCCTTTCCTTTCCTTTCCTTTCCTTTCCTTTCCTTTCCTTTCCTTTCCTTTCCTTTCCTTTCCTTTCCTTTCCTTTCCTTTTTAGGGTGATTGGCTGAGAGGTCTTTTCTTGTCCCCTGTGTACAGAATGAGAAGCAGGAAGTGAAATCATCATCCCTGTACCAGTATCAGGTTGTCCAAATTGTTCTGATTGGCTTGGTTGTCACCTACTTTTAAGCTGCTGTTGCATTACTCAGGGTCTGCTGCTTGCTTGGGCCAGAGCGTGAACCACTGATGTTAAGGCCAAGTTGTCTGTCACAAGGAAGCCTGGGGAAGAGGACTCTTATGTCAGACTTCAAGGTTTATGAGTGACTGACTCCCCTTCTCTTGACTGCTTTGGTGGCCTCTGTGCTTTATTGAGTGCAAGAGAAGGCAGTGTTGATTCATATACATCAAAGGAGATCCTGTCTGAGAGATTGGAATATTCTTGACCTTTAGATCATTTCCTTGATCTTAAAGACTTTTGGATTAAGGATTCTTAAGGATAAGGATCTTCCCAGTGGATAATTGGAATCTCTATTTGCTAATCTGCAAAATGGGCACAATACAGTGCCCCCTCTGGATGGGATGTAGGGAGGCTGACACGACTGGAGACACATATGGTACTTCACCCAGTGCCCAGTAAATGGTCAGTGTTCAGAAATGGTTGTTGCTAATAATGATAGTAATTTTTGTTGTTATTTGTGGTGGTGATAATAGAACCAAAGAGGGGCTAGCAGTTGGCCTCTATGATGATTCTGACCATAACTTTATTCTGGAAAAGCTATATATCTTTCCTGCAGTGCTGTCAACCTCCCTGGCATCTGGAATACTCCTCTCCTCGATCTCTCATGTCTCTCTTCCTTGAATACCAGTAAACAAAACCCAGTAGTTTCCCTGTTCTCTCCACTTAGTCACCCTGCTCTAGACCCTCTGAAGATCCTTCTTGACAATATTAGTTTCAGGAAGGAACCGAACAATTCAGCTGACGATCTTACTCTTTGTTTCCATCTGATTGGAGAGCGCATCCATCCGCACTACTGAAATTGTATTGTTTGCCGATTCTCCAGCCCCACCTCTGCAGCTGGCTCATCTCTTCCCTTTTGGGGTTGGTTTTCTCTAGTGTGGCTCATAGGTTGGCCAGATCTCCATAGTCTGGGGTCCCCATAGGCAGAATAATGTGGATGACTGTGAATTGTACTAAAATGGCGGTATGTTCTTTCATCTGTAAAGCACTTCAGGGCTTAGGTTATCTCCTTCAATTCTTATTACTGTCCTGGTGGGTGGGTGGGTGGGTGGGTGGAGGGGGAATGTGAGAGGTAGCCCAAGGGACAGGCCCAGAGATGGTCTGACTTGTAAGTAGCAGAAGTAGAACTTCCATGAAGTGCTCTGATTCTCTTTCCAGGAATCTTTCCACTATACCTCATGGGCCAGAAGAGGCAGTGTTTTCCACTGAAGCAATTAATTTTTTTTTCTTATGATGGTTAGAAAATTGCATAAAAAGTGCTGGTATCTGGGTCACCTGGGTGGTTTTGTTGGTGAAGTGTCCGACTCTTGATTTTGGACTCAGATCATGATCTCAGGGTCATGAGTCTGAGCTCTGCATCCGCTGAGTCTGCGTCAGATTCTGTCTCCCCCATCCCTCTGCGCCTCCACCCACCTCTCACTAAACAAACAAACAAACAAAATCTTTTTAAAAAATGCTGGCATCAGGAGAGAAGAAGGAAAGGCTACTGTTCATTGAGAACTATCTGTGTGCCAAGGACCATGCCTGATGCTTTTGCAAAAATATCTCATTCTTCTTGGTAAGTGTAGGTTAGAGTTCCTCTATCCCCGTTCCATAGATGGGAACACTGAGGCTCAGAAATCCTAACTGGCTTCCTCAGGTTCACACAGCAGTTAGTAGAACAGCCAGGACCTGGACTCTGATCCCTTTGCCTCTGAAGTCAGTGGCTTTTCCACAA